AGAAAAAATCTTCCCAGACTGAACCCACAGTTCCCAAAGTCAGCCATTCAAAACAGATTGAATACCTCAGGGAGGTGCCAGCCTCATCCTCTTATCTCTTCCTCGCCCCTCAGGAGACGAAAGAGCATGTTTCCCTCCCTGAGTTTGGCCTTCATAATTTCATTCCATCAGATATTGAGTAAAACTACATGTAAAAGGTAAATAAAATAAGAAGATTAGGAGCTCACTAAAAAGCTGTCACTCGGTGGCCATCTTGCTCCGCCCCCCCCCCTTTTTATAGTATTCTAGATGATATGATATTTATGACAATATAAGAAGAGCATTGGCGAGCATTTGTGTTAACCTCGTGCTTTTGTTGTAGGTCACTGATATTCAAGGCCATAGCCCATGTGTTCATCCTGGGTGTGACTTGGTGTTTTGGCCTCTTTCAATATGGCCTTTTGGATGAGTTTATGGCATACCTGTTCACCATCACCAGTAGTGTGCAAGGAGTCTTCATCTTCCTGGTGCACTGCTTACTCAACCAAAAGGTGATGTATAGAAGAACAGAGTTCTGTACTTTGAGCAAATAGCATGATTTGGGAATTTAGGTTATGACAGGAACTCTTATAGTCCAAATTTTAAAGACGGGCTTTAGGATTTTGTGAGTTCCTGGTAGATTGGTTCATGCCATCCTCCACCAGCTTCTCTCTTATTGCAAAAAAAAAAAAATTAGAAGCAACAGCAATGCCTTTGATTGATTGTTATGGGGACAAATGGAGGATCTGTTTGCTTCTGTTGTGGATTTGAAGCCATGTTTGATAATGCCCATAGAGTAATTTCATTCATTTTTACCTGAAAATTTGTGGAAAAATACAAATCAGTTTTTTAATGGCATTTGCTGCTAAATATCAGGGTTTTTAGAGGCTGCAAGGCTGATTTTTCAGGCTGCCGATATATATATATTTAAAATTTCTATATTCAGCTATAACTCACATGCTATTTAGCTGATCATTACAGGTAGTACAAATATTCTCTAATGTCTGTGGAGTCTAGTGGAGATTGCAGACAAACTAGGAAGGGAAGTTTACCACTAAGTTAAGTGTTTTTAATTTGAACACTTCCCCTCTTTAGTTTAGCATCTTCCCAACTTGGATTGGGGTGGGTACTTGCTTAACAACCCTCAATTCTCAGTTAACAACAACAACGGGGAGTGCCAGAATTGCAGTTGCTAAGCGATGCAGTCATGTGACACCTCACTTTAGCTTAGTGATGGAAATTCCGGTCCCAGTTGTGGTTGTAAGTTGACATGCGATTTAGCTGATCATTACAGGTAGTACAAATATTCCCTAGTGTCTATGGAATCTGGTAGAGATTGCAGATAAACTAGGAAAGGAAGCTTACTAAACAAAATAAAGTTGGTTTTAATATGAACATTTCCCCTCTTTAGTTTAGCATCTTCCCCACTGACTACCCACCATTATACAATCAGAAATTACTGGAGTTATCAGTAGCAAAAACTGTGATGATCTTTCCATTTATTTTAGAACATTTTTCAGGCTTGGAAAGGAGCAAAGGAAATAGAAAATGTATATGTCTCCCTGCACCCATACACAGCAGCTTAATCCCAACCAGAGCTCTATGGATTAATTTTATTAATTTGGTTACTAGTTTGTACATATAATGAGTAGGAGGTGAAGGGCTAAAGACTGAGCCA